CAAGTTTCATCAAAATCCAATGAGTGGTTCTTCATAATATCAGTGGAACAGTCATGGAACAGCTTGAAATCAGTTAATTATCATTCAAATTAGGTAATTAATATTCATAGATTTTTACCCAAAACTAATCAAATCTGCGCACTAGTTCAGAGCATCCATGTGCCAAGTTTCATCAAAATCCAATGAGTGGTTCTTCAGATATCAGTGGAACAGTCTTGGAACAGCTAAAAATCAGCTAATTATCATGCAAATTAGGTAATTAATATTCATAGATTTTTACCAAAACCTAATCAACTCTGGCATCATCCCAGAGCATCTATGTACCAAGTTTCACGAAAATTTGATTAGTGGTTCTTGAGATAACGGTGGGAACAAAAAAAGTGACATACATACATACATACATACAGACAGGGTAACTGCAAAGACTCCCTTTTGTGCTTCGCACACGGGGGTCAAAAACAAGCCATGCATGGCACAGTTCTCGTTAGTTATCGAATTTAAGATATATAGTTTTGTTTATAGTAATATAGCAGAAATATAAACAAGATGATTGTTTAACATTTAAATGATTGACATTTGTATCTGATCGTCAAACGAGTATTTAGATATTGCTCTGGAACAGCATTAATTAAAACAAAAACAGCCATTTTGAATACATGTATAATGAATATATAAAATTTGAACATAATCATTCAAAGCATGTCAGAGATATGGCCACTAGTCATCCATTTTGAATCTTTAATATCTGAAAACAAAATGATGTGCATCAAGGTCCTATAATGTCCAACGTATATACCAAGTTTGAACAAAATCCATCTGTAAACAGCCAAGAAATGCTTGATTTTGATGATTTTTTAGCACAAAAATGGCCACCATTCGGCCATTTTTTATCGGATCGTCAAACCAATATATCTGTATATCTGACATGATGTATAATGAATATTTAAAATTTAAACACAATCAGTCACAGCAAGTCAGAGATATGGCACTAGAACCACATTTATTAAAACAAAATGGTCGCCAGTTGGCCATTTTGAATCTCATCTGAAAACAAAATGTGTATCAAGGTCCTATAATGTCCAACATATATACCAAGTTTGAACAAAATCCAATTGTAAACAGCCGAGAAATTTTTATGATTTTTAGAACAAAAATGGCTGCCATTCGGCCATCTTGAATCAGATCGTGAAACAAATTGATGTGCATATGTATAATATCATGTATGATGTATGTCATTGTGTGAAGTTTGAATGTGATTGGTCCAGGCATTTCTAAGATACAGGTCTGGACGCACGCACGCACGCAGACTAAAAATGCAGTTTCAGTAAACCTACCCTACTTAAAAACCTAAAATTAAATTGCCTGTCCTGAACTTTTTTTTACCAAACATGAAAACTATGGTGCAAATCACAAGAATTTAAATGAGACTGGCATGAAACTGATTTTATTATACAAAGTTTGTCTAATTTGGAAAGACTGTATATAAAAAAACATTAATTAAACATGGGTTTTGTGAAGTAATTATAAGGCTTTCACAAATAAAATAAAAACGTGACCAACACTATCTGTTTTTGAAGTGCATGTATTGGAACGACTTAATATTTTTTTGTCTAAGCTGTCTCAGACTGAGTTTAGTCAGGGGGCTAATAAAGGTATATAACTGGAATTATTGCACCATGACAGAATCAGACAAGATGTTGTAATGTGTCTGGTATTTACAGCGTTGTACAGTAACAAGATTACACCGTTGTTGGGCTGATGAATTGGTCATGTCATGTGATGTAAATAATATCAGTCATGTAACCATTAAACCAATGTAGTCAGCAAATTAACGGGGCACAACAGTCTCGTTAGAGATCTGCTAATGCTCCTTTAATGCAATGAATACATCTACACATCCCAAACTTGTTTATTTTTTTACAACCACTAGTAATTATGGAATGTCACAGCTCTACTCTACTTCAGACCTGTAACATAAGAGTATACACCAGAGAAACAAGAGTAAGAATCCATGAAATTAAAATGGACCTGTTTATAACGTGCAATAAGTACCTTGTGATTATTTAACCACAGGCACAAAAATCATCAGAATTAAATCCAGTTAAATGCATATAACTTGCATGTATTATTATATCATCATGTATCATCATAATAAGTAATTGCATTACATAGTCTTTATGAGTTCTCAAGTTTAAAATATATATAAAATTTGAAGGGAAATACAGTCAGAGAAATACCTCCAAAACTGCATTCACCTAAACAAAATGGTCACTGGTACTCCATTTTTAGTGTGATTATACAAGTTATGTGCATTAAGGTCCAATAATGCTTTGCCTGGACTAAAATAGCCAAAGAAGGAAATTTAATTAAATAGGATATCTTATGATCAGCCTCAGTAGTTGGAAGGGGGGTATAAAATAGAACTACATGTAACTAGCAATAAACAGGGAGGGATTTATCTGCATCATATCAGTAATTACTCAACACTGTCTGCTTCTCTTTATTTATCAAAAGATGTGTATATTTACAAAACGAAAACAAGTTACAGACATTGTAACTTGGAAGCGATAGGTTCATCTACGTAGATGCAATGAAAGACAATACAGCAGAGGTGTAGATTCAGGGTTCGCCCCAGAATATTATACAACAGTACCCCCTCCCTCCTCCACAATTCTAGATAAACTAGCCTACTGAACCTAAAGATAACATTGAATACAATAGAGGTAATTAACATGTACTGTTGTTATGCAGATTTGTCATAGAGCTGCATGTACACCTTTCCCTCTCCCTATGTGCACGACTATAATAGAGGAAATATGCTAAGACATTAAGAAACATTCACAGAGCATTATCATCTACAAGGAAAGACAACTGACATATAAATCACACCACAGCATTAAAATCTCATACATTTTTAATGCCTGGAGGAAGCCAAATCAGCTTAATATACTACACCATATAAATAGAATAAATCAGTGATCATTTATTAGAAACAAGAAGCATATAGGAAGGTATGATCATAATTGTAGTTTTTATTAGATCAGTGTTTTGAGTGGCCAATATTATAAATCAATTCATTTTCATAGTGAAATATTTGCAATTTGAGAGTTTTACAGCAACGAAAAAATGAGACTTCTTAAATTCAGTGAAATAAATATTCACTGCTACAACACATACTGATTTTTTTTCCTGAATTCAAAAAATTAAAAGCAGTATTACATTCACTGCAATTACAGCTCTGAACTACACGCATGTACTGTATGCATCACAAAATTGCAGCCAGCTGGGAGTAGTTGTAGAAAGCAACCAAGGTTAAATAGTTGTGTAATCATTAGATCCACAATATCAACTGACTGTATTACTGTACTACTATAAGTGTTTTGATAAAACAGCATGATGCATACTTTTACACAAGTGTTAATAAGCTTTCTCTACTAACACCACCATGTTTTGTAATTACAGGTAAAATTGATGACATCATTACGATGGTACATGTATAACTGTTAATAATAGCACATACAATATTATGCAAATTAGTATGAATATAGACTCGCAATTATAATGAGTGACTATAAAGTAGTTAATTAGTTGGATGCATCGCAAAACAATAATTGACTTTCATTTTCACTCAAAAAATTGATAGGACTGGGAACATTTTAATTCAATCGATTTGACCTACTTTAAAAAGTGAATTGACCTACATAAGATGCATACCATTAGCTAATTTTCCCAGCAATTTTAGTAAATATATAGGGTTCTTTACATGGATATGACACAACCTTTCAAGGTAGCATACAATCATAAATTCTGTACATATTATTTATATCTATAATTGCAATATATTACTAAAACCACATACAGAATGTACATGTAATCAGTAACATACAATGTATTGAACAGATGCAAAAAGAATGAATATCTATCCACCTAAAAGTTAAACAGTGGTGGTTTATGAAGCAGAACCGATGTCAGTAAAACTATGGACTTATTATAAAATGCAAGCTGAATATTGAAAAACCACAGAGAAAGACTACAAAATTTTATAACAGAACAGTAGAAACTGAAGCTGATGTGAACTTGAAATAATCACATACTTTTACACTGTTCTTGCTTAATATAAAAACAAAAATCTTGGGAGTCTTTAGAAGGAAAGCAGGCCAGTCCATAATACTGGATTACAGTGAATACAAAAAAAAAAGGATTCTGCTTCACAAACATTACACTGTAATCATAAGTGTGTATGTCCCAAGACAGTCCTGCAATTAGTCATTCAGATAAACACTAATTGAAGTACCGATATACTTACTCATGAGCTTGCCATATGGGAAATTTCTTGTCCGGACAACTGTCCAACATTTCTTGCAAACCCCCAACACAGTATTCCATGACAAGATACGTAAAAAAAATAAGGTTAAGAAAAAATTCAATTTTCAATATTCATGCACAACTAAAACTCCACAATTAAATACACATACTATATGTATGTATCTCTGTTCTCCAAAATTTGTTGAAAAAATGCACACAGAAACTAAACACACTTTTGTGTCATTATTAAATTTCCACTTCAATCACCACTGATTACAGCAAACGTCTGCATCATCATGGTGCAATGCATTCCAAGGTAGAATGATACGCAAGTTTATTACTTATACATATAGCAGCAACTATATTTTGTCAACAGACAAAACATGCTATTTTTTCTATATTTAATTTTTTCTAAAACTAGTATGGTGACCCTATATTTTTATAACACATTTTCTTCATTTTTGTATTAAACATATACTGTAAAATACTTTATTTTAGGTGGAATTAATTTTCGTTGAAACAACTGTTTGAGTGTTTTAAATTGAATTTATGTTCACTGATTTTTAACGAGTTGAATGTAAAATATAGACAAAAAAGTAATATTTGCTAGATTTTATTTTCAATGAATCAGTGAAAATAGCGTAAATAAATTCCAACAAAAATAAAGCATTTTACCATACTAAATATGTAATATGTAATAAAAAAAAGGCAATTATTTTTGCTATTGTGTAGCATTCTACCTTAAAGATATATGACAAATGGCATCACAACATGTGCACAATGTCAAGACACTCTAAATAAGAAGATAATAAAATAAATTGCTTTCACATTTATTATTTCAGATAAGCCACGCTGAGAAATAAATTTTACACAATCTTGTTGCAATATTGCAGAGCACTGAAAGAAATACAGTGAGTTCTAAAAATAACCATTACCGGTAACCGAGTAGTTTCAGATAAATGGTTTCATATCAGAAAGGTTTATGTCATACTGCTGCTATCAATCAAAATGGGTTCATTAATAATAAATCCTCAGATAGTACATCAGACATATCTTTTGAGTCGCACCAATGAATAATTGTTAATAGAATATGTAGCAACAAAGCGAAAAAATATAATCAATCACAAACAATGCATTTTATCATAATGTATCAATTTTCAGAATTCAACACATAATTTAATAAGATATTTCTAATTCATACTGCAATTATGAGCAATAATTAGGATTATTATTATAGCATAAATATACTCTTCATCTAAAAATTAATGCAAATTGTCGCCGCATTCACAACTACCGTCTATATATGCACTATTAGTAGTGCATACACATGTACGGATAAAATAAATGACAGATTTAATTTAAGTTTTATTTTAAAGGTCCAGTATAGAAAAAAAAGCTATTTTGCTTCAGATGAGCGTCTTCTAGCAAATACATTACAACAGTTAAACCAATTAACATATAAACGATATGTGTATTCAATATCAAATCTAGCCATGGCTGAAAATACCACATTGCGATATTAGCCCCACATAACATAATATTACACATTTAAAATGTTTATGTATACTACCTGGCACTTTAATTAATATGCAGCATTTGTTATATTAGAAGAAATTCTCTAAGTGAAGCGCACACAAAACAAAACTTGCATTTATGGTAAGCTGGTTCTGAACTTAAATACTACTACCGATAATACAATGTAATATTGATTAATCTGACATGTTTTTTTAACATTTACAATTGAATATTATATTAATATCAAATATTTGTTTGATTTTTAGTTCTATCATTTATTTCAAACGAATTGACTCACAAAAAAATGGTTGTCACATCTAAAATTAAATGACTGCAGCATAACACCACAATCAAATTAGTTTAAATCTTTTTTTACTTTAATCACCTGATTATGTTAAATTTTTTATTGTCCTCTAGCAAATTAACACATTCATATGCTATCAATCCATCTTAATGTTTCTTCTTGACAGAAATAAAAACTAATTACAACTTTGAGTATTTCTAAGTTTTGTTTCCATGTTTCACACAATTTCTGTTAGAAATTACTGACATCCTTAAACTCTACAATCATGTTATGACTAAAACCAAATAATTTAAACCACTCAAAAAATATAATTGTGATGATTTTTTTGTTTATGTTCCAATTAATGGAAGAATTTCAGATAATTTTACTGCAGAATGGAAATAGCAGATTTTAAAAAAATACCATAAACATCCAAAAAGAACACAATTTCATTTTTCAGTTTCATTAGGTGTATAAAAGTACGTCTGGAAAACAACTACCATATTTGCTCTATTATAAGCGACTCTCCAATAGAACTTAGAAGCACATACAAACCAAAAATCTCATTACAATCACTGTCAATAAATAGTCCTAGTTTGTATTATAGATATTCTACTAATCAGCTATTTTTGATTTGATTGTGACAAAAATGCAAGTATGTTTGTCTGATGTGTGTGTAAAGTTTCAACTTGATTGGTCCAGGCACGTTGGATATATTTATGGATCTGAAACTGCATTCTCTAAAACAAAATGGCCGACACTCGATCATACAACATCCTAACAAGCCTTGAAACCACTTCATGTAATTTATCATTTCTACTCCGACAAAGTTTTATTGTTTCCTTCATAGGTAGAACATAAGCATTTCACCTCTACTGACACCAGCATTTTCAGATTGACCCTTAAAGAGATAGGCAAAGTCCCACTTGGCACTGATTCAATTTGCCCCCCAAAAAGATAGGGGAAGTCCCACTTGGCACTAAATCAAGTTTTGTCAGGTGACTGAACTTTGAGCGACTACTAGTATGATGTAAGAAAGATGACATTTTTTTTTTCTATTTAGTAACCTGATAAGAAAAGGTGTGGTACATTCGCTGACTTCCTCCACAAAAAAAAAAGTCAGCACAAGCAATTTGTTAAAGAGCAAGGTCACTGCACCAGCTTGGGTAGCATATGGAGTTATTTTGTTGACAACAAATCAAATGAACACTATCATGAAAATAACATTACAATTTATGTGTGTACTTTGGTTGGATAGTCAACGCAAAAACATTTGGAGATTCTTTGAGATATTCGTAAGTTGCGATGTCAACACATCTCAAATATGATAACCTATCAGCCATTGTCAATATTTAACGCAAAAAAAGGATATATCTTCTGTTTTTCATCATTATAAAGTACTTCTACCAAATTAATAATATTTTTATGTTTAAGCCTCTTAAGTAATCGGATTTCTCTGAAAGCAAATAAAAAAATTTGACAACTTAACATGAATGATGAGATTTTTGCACATAGTACCCCAGTAGACAAAATATCATTAGAATGAAATCACATTTGGTGTCAGTTTTCTTGCATCACCTATAATCTTCAACTTAGTAGCTATGCTTCAACCATAGATGAATAATGAACGTTTAATTGAAACACCTGCCTACTATGTTAAATGTCCTCGTTTTCATTACATTATTTATTTATTTGATATTGTTTGACGTAACGACCTACACGTACAGCTTAACTGATTGTAAACAAAACACATCAAGGCCACGTGTGTGACGTGTGCTAATTGCATTTGAAACTCTCATCGTTGACTTCGATAGTATTGCGCTCTAAAGAAACGTTCCGCTTAGATTAGATTACCACGCCCCCAATGTACTCAATGAAACAACTTGTTTAGAACCTGCAAAGTGAGTAAACAATACAAACATGAGCATCAGCTTAATAATCTTAATCATTCTAAAATCGTAAAATAAATACATAATATACTTAGCGCAACGCAACTCAACATAAACAAACACTGACAGTACCTCTGCACATTCGTCTCTCCGTTCGGAATCTTGCGTAATTTCTTCTTCTTTAAGATTTTTACAGCTCGCCTGCATAATGTTTCTGTGTCTAAAACTTCTTTAACTTTACCATAAGATCCTTCCCCTAAAGTGTCCCCCATCAAGTATTTTCCTATCAGTTTCGCCCGCTTTTTTCTCGGGGAATATATAATCTGCGACGAGTCCACGCGATGGATGAACGGAAAGTTGTCGTCAAGGTCCCCATCATTTAACCAGTCTATTTCATGCACGTCTTCCATCAGCTTGTTGTGGAAACCTTCAAATTTTAGTCCTGCATCGATAACCACCCCTTCAACCATTCCCTAAGTTCAGAAAATGGGACAAAAAAGAAGCTACAAGCGCAAATTTCCAACCGAGTTGCTGCACCCCTGTCTACTCCATGTTGCTACTGTCGGCCATTTTGTTTGTCTGCACAAAGTCACGTGATATGTGGGTATTATGGGAATTATTTGTTTGCGGAAGACATTTTTTGAAGGGGACAAACTGCGTGACCCGAGTCATGTGAGGTTATGGTATGTATCGTATTGTCTCCCGTAGTATTATTTATAGTACAGATGTTCCCCTGACTAGGTCATAATGGTAAACATTGCAGGCATGACAGGTTAACAATAGCACCAGGTTTCCACATTAGTTGCAATAATCTGATTTGTAAATTACTTCTTCGTCACGATCGACGTGTCCCTTTATCACTCGTGTGACATTTTTGGATCTTTGTTGTTTATATGAAATTGCAGCTTAGTGCGAGATACACGAAGACGTTATTTTAATTTCAGATCGACTTTTACAATATAATGTCAGTGAGTGAGCAGTTAGGGCTGTGTATTCTTTTTAAATTTTGAAGAAATGAGGAAACGTATGAAAAGGCAGTATATGATAAAAGTAGTGTGTTCTCAATTTTACACCACAAAACAATTTTAGTAAGCCATGCAATGGAGGCTGCTATTTAATCCCATGGTGCACCACGCTTCAACTTCCTGTTTTAAAAGACACTAAAAAAGTGTTCATACAAGTCTCAGTTCCGCTATAGAGGGACTGTGGGTTTGATATTAACTTTTAAATTCACTTTGAAATGCATGTTGTCAGTTTATATACTGTAAACCATTTATTTTCACTGACATTTAATTTCACTACTTTGGTGTTTTGAGCGTATTCACTATGTTTTAATTTGACAAGGAAACAATGAGTAAATTTAATTTAGTGGATTTTACTCATTAGCGAAAATAGTGAGATTAAAACCCAGTGATTAATGCATTTACAGTACCATAGGCTGGGGAGGCAAGTAAGTTAATATTCAGTCGTTTGAATGGCAATTTTACTTGCATGGGCTATTATAACTATCTTAGTGGAAGACTTTGAAGTGACATATCACTTCCACTTTTATCTAAGGTGTCATCAGTTTGTTTTGTCTGTGGCCTAACAAATAAAATGTTAAATTCTGCATAAAAGCCTTGAAATCAGCAAACTGTGTCAAAACAGTTTACCCATATTTTAAAATCAGTGCGGTAACAAGGTCCTGCCCATGAAAGGGATACAAAAGAAGTGGACCAAATTCTGAGTAGACTTATGAAAGAAGTAGATGAAGTTCTAAAGTGGGCCAGTAGGGAAGTGGACCTACCCCCAGTATGACTTTTTGTTTCATGGACATCAATGCACAGCTACAACCTGTGTGGATATTCACTCTATTGTAGTTTTGAGTTATGAATATTAATTATTTTTCTCAACCCTACATTTTCACTCACGAAGTAGAACATATCTCAACTCCCATAGTGATGATATACGGTAAATACAAGGCTTGTTGTATTCAGATTAACTCCCAATTTCGATCTAACGTTTCTAAAACAGGGGCTACACACTCATTTAAATTAGCTGATAATCTAAGTATTTTCTCAGAGGTCTGTCCTCCCATCATGAACACAGACTGGAGCGTGGAATGCCTGCTCATCGTTTAGCCATTAAAAATGTATACAAACCAGTTTGTAATATAATTCTTGCCAGAAAAATGCACATATTTGTCAGCCTTTCTACCTTCAAGTTTATCATGGAAAACAGGCAGTTTTGTAGTGTCTTATAACAGTCACCTAGATTCACAGATCCCAATGGTAACAAAGCTTCACACACAAGTCTAACAGCCCACACACATCATGTTTCAGACCATTGTCTAACACGGTTACACCACAAAATGATTTGAAAACCACAAAGTGATAAAGTAAAGTTTGATACAATATCATCAGATAAATATTTTACCATGCCAACAGATCCAAGAGAGTAATTAATGAAAAGCTACCACTAGGTGGCGCTCTATAGACAGAACCTTTGAAAGAGTATATAGTACCTGCATATGGTGAAACCAGTTTCGATATTATGCAACAAACAAATGCCTGATCGTAGATTAGTAATTTTAATTAATTTTTTGAAGCAGTACATACTAATTTGTAGTTTATCAGTATAATCATGAGAAAAAACAATTTTTAAAAATCAAAAGTGTCAATTCATTAGCACATTATTTCTGCAAATAATAAAAAAAATAGATAAACAAACTTTAAAAAAATAAAATTATAGTGTAGAAATCATAAAAATAGAGTATATAGAGTGATATTTATCACAACAGCTTAAATATAACAAATTATTGAGATTCAGTCAACAAACATTTTCAAATTATTCAACCAAAATACAAAACATTGACTATAATGATAAAACACATAGCAAAATATGACATTCATAGAAAAAAACTGCCTTGTGCCTGCACAGTTGAATACAAAACCAGAACAGTAATAACATAAAAATAGCCTCCCAGTCACTTTGCAGTTCACCTGCCCTATCAGTCAAGTTGTGCTTGAACAGTCTCATAATTATCTGGTCTAAACAAGGTCAAGAGATGTCAAAGGGCAAAATAATTAGGTCAAAAAAATCTTTTGTTTAATAAAATCTCATTGTTATTAAACTATAGCCATAATTTGAAGTCTAAACAGTAAGCTCAGATGGTCCCACACAATATGCCTATTCAAGTCTTGTATCACTAATTAGACGACAATGTTAGCATCTGGGTGAATTTCTCCAAAAAAATAGGTTACAAAGATTAAAACCAGATGTGTGTAATAGAAAACACATGCTGGCCAGCTCAAACTCCTACAAAATGGATATAAACAAAACTCAGATTTAGTGGACTGTCAATATTCTCAGAAAAACAGCCAGTTATTAGTGTCTAGTCAGCAGATGCCCAGATCCACAGGTCACCAGTACTTGTCAATAATAAACAAAGCTTCACACAAGTAATTGAATTATGTCCTCACACATTTTGTTTCAGATCAGGCCTGATTTCGAATAAAACTAACAACAACCATAGGATTTGAACTATGAACCCTGACTAACTGGAATAAATTATGCAAATAACAATTTGGCTCCAAGCCATCTTTTCTGACACCGATAATAAATCAAACTGAAATATGTGTATGTTTAAACAATGACTGGTCTTCCTTAAGGTGATGTACATTTTCTTTCTGGGGTTTGTTGATATGTCCAATTTTCTTGTTAGTATCTGTATGGTTTTGAGGTCATGGAAACGCTACCTGGTTTGCATAGCTAGACGCCATTTTGAATAAATAATGCAATCCCTATGAAATTTAACAATACAGCTCAAATGTCAAAACATACAGGAAGGTGAATTATCCACATCACAGCTTTGGGGGGGGGGGGGCAGCTGAAAGAGTAAAAACAAAGACAATTTTTTTTTATTGTAGTGAAATGGCTCCTGTTTTTTAAAAGTGATGGGTAATATTGTTGTATATGATGGATGTAAAAGACAGGTACCAAATTTTCCCTGGAAACCTTTCCCAGAATTTGCATCTCCAGAAGTTGTCGCTTTAGAGATTACAGAAGAAGATGATAGCCGTCTCGATGACACCACCAGTTATGCTCCAGATGCCGGAAGAGTAGTCCTAAAACTAGATCCAGTTCCCAGCGTATCTGATTGGAGGTCTCAGACTCAGGATTTGTTATGGTGGACTTATGCTCAATTTATGCCTGGTGATGACTCACAGTTACTCACCAGTGTTGGCGTGTATGTACCAAGACCAGGTAGAACAATAACTGGTGCACATAGACATGTGCAAGGACGGATTAGTTTATGGAATCTAAGCACACAACCAGCAGGTGAGTGTAGAGAAATATGTGTTTTCTTGGGGGCGGACATCCATGCATTTTCTTCACCTGGAAACCATCATGGTGAAAACAAACTCACAGAAAACTGTAATTGGGTATAGTTGTTGAGACTGCCTTGAACAAGGTAACAACATATATAAATTTAGTTGTTCAGGATTACTTCATTGTTTAGTTTGTGCTGTTTGCTTGACTTTTACACTGGCTCTTTGACAGACATTCCACAGCAGCTCGCACAGAGTCTATAGAGATACATGGTACAGTGGTGCATGTCTTAGTAATGTAGAAACTTCTGTGACGTAGCTCCACTCGAGAATACTGATAATTCTCACAAACCCTAAATGCTCCCTTTCAAACACTTAACAATTTATTCATTCTGGGTAAAATTTTGATGATTTATAGTGATCCCAAAATTTCACAAGGGCTTTTTGCCTCATACATGTATGAATATACATTTGTACCTGCAAATGGGAAGATATATTATAAAATAAGAACTCAGTTCACTTATATTACACTTTCCATTTGCTTTCTTCTAATAGATTCCACATTGCTATGTCAGCGGGGAAGTGCAACCTGGCCACACTGTCAGGTTTCGCCAGAATCAAAGTATCTATGCTATATAGGAAGAGGAGAAATGGTTACACAGAGTCTGAAAGACGCTCACAGGGATGTCAAACGACGAGACCTACGCATGGGCAATTTCCGCTTTTGTGCAGTTGCACCGAATGGCCAGTTTGTGGCGATACTGATGAGAGTCGGAAACAACTTTGAGCTGGCTACTGCATATTTGCCTGATTTACGCTCCAATGAAGCAGTCTTTTGTCACAACATCTGCCCGAATTTTGTCGGCACCGCCAATTATTCAGATCATGTGGAATGTACGTTTTCACCGAATAGTAAATTTATTGCAGTTAGTTCATCATTCGGTAAACTGTTTGTAGTGAAGAGAGATGGACTAGCACTGTATAGACTCGTCACCCCAGGTCTTGTATCTCTAAGTAAAGGGTTATTGGAGGATGCCAGAACGTACGACTTTGATCCTCGGTATAATTACAAAATGCTGGCATTTTCTACCTCAGACAAACATCTCAGGGTATTCAATCTGGAAACCGAACAGTGTGTGCTTGATGAGGAACTCCCGATTGATGTTGGGGCAGCAGAAGTCTTGAAATACACACATGATGGCAATCTTCTTGCCGTAGCAACGATCAGCACTGAGATTCTAATGTACAACACTGAGAGTGGTATCATTACTTACAAACTGAATCCAGATACACAGGATCCAAAATATGGCATGGGAGCAATGCCTAATGGCTACCCGTGTATAATCCGACTCTCATTTAGTCACAGTGGTGAACAACTTGCAGTGTGTAGTGCAGATGGCTACATTCGAATATGGCAGCTGCCTCGGTTCTTGAACTTGCAACATTTCTGTCGTTTGACAATTCTACGTCATTTTCCGGCTAACAAAGTATATTCTTTGCCTCTGCCATCTAAATTAGTTAGTTATATCCTTTACAACCCAACCAGGTGAAGCAATTAGACCTTGCTAAATGTTGTGAAAACAATGGTATTGTTGCTAATACAGCCATGCTCACCGCATGTCAATACTAATGGTAATGCATGGCCACACATGATGAAGAAACACAGAATGTTGGCATGGAGTCTACTCTTAATCTACTGTAAAATACTTTATTTTAGCTGGAATATATTTTTGCCTGTTTTGAAAGGAGTATATTTTCACTGATTATTGAGTTGAATGCAAAATACAAGAAAAAAGGTATATTCGCTAAGTTTTATTTTCACTGAATCATTCCTTTCAGCGAAAAAAGTAAAAATAATATATGAAAACACAACTGATCTACACAGCTAAAAATATCAATTCATTTTTTTCCTCAATATTTACCATTACAGCAATAAGGTAGAAGTATATTTTTTAGTTTTCTTCCTATGGCCATTCAGGAATTTTCAACGAAACAATAAAAATTATTGTCACTAATTAATATGCTCAATTATGTTCATTTATCATATTTAATTGATTATCCTCATCAATACTGTGCCTCCCTTATAAATGTATGGTTTGAGAGACTGATATATGTGCATACAAGCAGACATATTTTATTATTCTGGTTCATGTGCGAATACTTGTTTATTTCCCACACTAATGCATATTTTATTGAATATTCAAGATTACGTGGGATAAAAGCTTTTACTTGGCAATGACACAATTTGAAAACAGTGCAGCTGAAAATGGCATAATTAGTAGATAATCTCAGTCAGATAGCACCATTTACAGGAAGCAGCTTAAGTCAATTTTCTGGAATTTGTAAAAAAGATTTACTTTTCATTTCAGAGTGCTTTAAATTTATTTTAGATTTGAAGAGTTTAGATTGGGAAAATAAAAACAGTCACAGAAATGTAGGTGTTTCACTCCAATTACAACACTACATGTGGCTGATTATCTCAGTTCAGGGCATTATTTATATAATGCGCTACCTATTGGGCATTATTTAGATATTGTCTGTCATCTTAATGCCACAAAGTCAACGATCATGTCAATTTTAGAGACCATAAACTATATTTTGAAGTTATTATAGGCACCAACTCCAAGTTCAAAAGCCAACGTTTTGTTCTTCAAATCTTGTCATGTTCATTTAGTCATAAATATTCATCTTTAATATGTAACATGTTATAAATAAAGTGTGTAATATACATATTTATAGCAACAGAATCAGGTGAATGTGATTGGTCAGATAATGCACTCGTGTTGGACATCATTCGTTTTGAACTTCACTCATTCAATATCTGAATGATTGCACTCAACTTGTGCATTACTTTATACTTACAACTTGTATAAAAGTCACAGACACACATGAATGTAATACACCACCAGAATAATCAAGCCCTAGATTTTATTGAACACCCAATTTAAAACATCAAAAGAAAAAGAAAAACTCATTTAAAAATAAAGCATCGTGCTGTATGCAATATGATACTGGTATACTGTGAAAGTAAAAGATTCTGATTTGTTGCAAAGCTTACTCTGAAACAATCTAACAAGATCTTGACTGTTAGTTGGTCAGATGTATGAGTGGATAACCAGCAAGAGAACACAAAAAGCATGTACATTCAGCAGATTATGAGTGATCTATATTATGTATACTGAATTAGTTTTGAAAACCTTGACAAATAAATTTCAGTATGACTAGTTTTGGTTCAGCCTAGGATACAATGAACAGCTCCCTCTATAAACCAGTGTAAGCATCTGCAACAGTGCCCTCTATATCCCAATAAACTACTTTCTCGGAAGTCGAAGATGCATCGTTTTGTCTTGCGCGCACATGTCATTTTGGGGTGTAATGTAAACTTGCACGTGTGATATTGTGTTTCTGGGTGTACCAATCGATGTTACAAAAATAAAATTCCCTTCTATTGATTCTCAGCAAACTGACATGTTTTTGTACCCCAGCCTCGCTACTTTCGGGAAAGTCGTCTATAGAGGCACCCAGATTGTTTTTTTGCAGTAGTTAATGGATTGAAGGCATTTATTTAGATTCTGCTTGTGCATTTCCTAGACAGATTCCAATGTACAAAATAAATGGAATATTTAAACAATATATTGTGTATTCAAATATTTTTATTAACATTTGTAACATAAATATTGGTTGTAATATAATAACTATGTTATGAAATGAATGAATAAAAAAATGAAATTAAAATTTAATATTGTGACCACAGCTGCCAACTTAAATTTCAAGCAGGCTCTTGAGGGCGCTATACATGTTGTGAACTTGGGCCAGTAGTTCAGACTCTGGGATAATCTTGTGTAGGCTCTGATCTGTCGGATCCATAAATCAATTTAACATAGACTGATTGTAGATAACCAGGACTGAATTACCCCCACATATTTATTGCAACACCTTTGGGGGGGATTCATCCCAAGAAGTTGGATTCCGGGGAATTATGGTCCGTTTTAGGTTTTAGAATTCTCAAAACAAAACTTGATTGATTGAAAAGTATTTTTTGGTTGATCAAACCATTAGGAAAACTACACAATACTACATATCTATATTTACATTAGGGTTTTTATAATAAATAAACTTCTTTTTTTACAAATTGCAAAAAAAAATATTTTGTTTTACCTTTAAGACTTTGACCCTTGAAAGTTAAATTCACTTTGACTTTGCTCATGAGTGATTTTAATTTTCAAAGTTTTGATTTTCATTGGTCCGCAATAGATGCAGTTATATATATGTATATATCTATTTGAGTGAAATCAGTAAACTTAAGTTGCACTGTCCTCAACTATAAACTATCATTTTTACCAATAAAATGCTACTACATAGTAAATAAGTTGCACCTTTGGAAAATAATAAAAAGTAAATACCGGCAATTAAAATAAGAAAACTGAAAATATAACGCAGATGAAGAAGAAAGAAATTCAATTCAAAATAACTATCCATCTATCAGAATAATACTAATTTTTATATGATTTACAAATTTATATCAGTGAAAATCAGAATAAACAATTTAAATCATCTGTAGTGAATAGACATTTCTACCACTAGAGGGGGTATTTTTTAAAACTTTATAGAAATCTAACGGTGGATGAAATTTCAAATGTTTGCTTGACTTGAAAAAAGGAAATAAATCACAAAAAATACGAAGAGATATAGAATGTCTTGGGACCTTTTTGTGCCCTTTAAGATAATGTTTTGAAGATGAAACTTGCATTCATGAACTTGTGCAAAGTAAAACATTTCAACAAAAAAGCATATTTTACTAGGAGGGTTGAAAAAAAAAGTTGTTTTTTTTTCTTGTAGAACTCAACATTTTAAATTTTTTTATCATCTTACAACATCTTGTCACACAAAAATGCCCATATTCGTGAGTTGATTCAAACAATTGCTTGTCTGCCTAACTCTACAATAGTTGCCAAATTTCACACTCCATATTCCTGATTGTCTCCTAACTTGATTCAATACATGACAGTCTTCCTAACTCTACAACAGTTGCCTAACTTCACACACCAGATGTACCATAAAGTTACTTAGGCACTGGTTTACAAGTACCATGGACGGATGGATGACTTGAAAATGAGGCAAAATGTGTATTCAAACGTAAAATCTTGTTTTACCAGATTCAATTATTAAGTACTGACTATAGCATAATCACATAGGATTTTAGCTCTACAGTTGTCATTATGTTAAGTAAATGGATAATAATCTGAACCCACACTAAACATCTAATGTGAGCCCACAACTTGTCACCAATACATGACTGTAATATAGGTCAATCAACTCTGGCCACCAGCCCTGGTTCAGTTAAGCTCACCAAGAATAGAGTCCAGTTCTGGTGTTCTGCAGTAGAATTTTTAATAGAGCCAGCCATAGTTGCCTGGTCCAGAGTGACACATTACTGGTAACAATTATGTAAATGAAGTGAAATTAGTGTAATCTTATAATACAACATGCCAAATGATCTTGGCACCCTTCCTGGGATGCCCATGAGTGGGGCAAAGTGGGTAACATCCATTCTTACGCTGCACAACCACAACTTAATGCACCCCAGTCTTATCCTACTATATCAACAAGTACTATAGTTTTAATCAAATTGTAGCAACTCTAAACAAACTTCAATTTCTTAGCTATGGCTGAATTTTTAAAACATCACTTAAACATGATTAGCTTCAAATACCTAAACGAATAAAACTGAGAAATTTTATAGCTTTTCTGGACCCACATTGATATATTGGGAGAATTATCAATTTCATTCCCTTATTACACTACCTCTAAAACTCTGTCTAAAATTATTGCAATAAATATATTCTACCGTTATTAAGGTAAAAAAAAGAAATAAAAATAATTCTTCACTTGTCCTTGAATTCTGATGATTTAAAAATAAGGCATCAAAATAAAATGTTTCAGTTCATGAGTCTTCTTCATCACTCTTGTTGTCATGACTACAACAATACACTCATGGTAAAAATGTGCATTCCTTCATGCTTGCTGGTCTTGAACTAAGTTGTGTTGCATAGCAACTAAGAAAATCTCATCATTTCAGATCAGCAGAATGTTTTCACACAAATTTAGGTTCACGTTTTGTCTGAGACGGGCTGTATGTCTGGTGAGGCAGTGGTCTGGGTGGTGTAGTAGACACACCGGGTATACTCCCAGTTGATCCTGACAGATCATCGTCCAAACTTGACCCAACAGATGACCCTGTAGATACCCGTGATCTGTTGTTACCCGCTGCCATGTAAGATGTCCTTGACTTTGGAATAACCTGAGATTCTGTTGTAGTGTATTGAGAGGATGGTCTCCCACTTTGTGTAGTCTTACTCGGCACATAACAGGCAGTGGATAAGGCCGTCTGTTTCACAGTTTGTATTGGCCTAGATTGTGACACAGTGGTATGACTTAGTTCTGGTGAACTAGTAAAGTTTTTTGTCTTTGGTCTTCTCGGTGGTGGTACTTTTTTGGCTGAGACTGGCACGACCACGTCATCATCATCTGAATCCGTTGGATGTTCATCCTCCGAACCAGAATCATCGCCATGGTCACCTGCAGAACAAAATAATAAATCTATCAATAATTGTAACAAAAGCAAAAGCAGTATACACAATAGCTTTGAGAAAGTAGTTAAATACCAAAAAGGAGGAGAACTTAGGCAACTCTAGTATTCATTTATTTCACAAATAATTCACCAGTAGCTTCAGGAAAGTGTACCCGATATTAACAGAACTGATTTTTTGGGGGACTCCCCCCCCCCAAGTCACAATGGAATCCCCCTAAATCAAGTTGTGAAAACTTGTTGTATGCTGGGGATGTGGGTGCCCAAGAAACAAATAAAATTGTATGTGCCTTTATAGGTAATTTCAGGCACAAACAAAAATGTTGTGGCCCCTGATTTCCTTAATTTTTACATTAATTTTGTTTGTAAAATATGAATTCCATTTTACCAAATTTCATAACTATAATAAGATGTTTTTAATGATCACTATATCAATGTATGATTCTCTGTATAATAAGATGTTTTTCATGATCACTATATCAATGTATGATTCTCTGTATACCCCGGTAATAAGATGTTTTCATGATCACTATATCAATGTATGATTCTCTAATGTTTCAATGACGTAATAGAGAATTAGAACAAGTAGTTGCATCACAGTATATCAGCTTTGATGAAACATTACATCAGGGACAGAAAAAACAAGTTACAAAAAAACCCTAAATTAAAATAAGATTATCTGCTCTCACCTGTTAGCCGGGGTGTTGGTTCACCCAAAGAGCTGTTATCAAGACTTCCATCATCTCCAGAATCATGAGCAATCATGGCAACATTGTTATTCTCATGACTGCCTGTCAACGAAAATTTGGGTGATCTACTGAAGGCTGATGGGGGGTCTTCTTCCTGTGAATTGGACCGCCTAAGTCGATGAATACTCCTTCCTGAAAAAGACAAGAATAATCAGGAAATATACTAAAGGTATCTCCTGGTAGTCTCCATGGCAACCAGTGTTACATTGAGGTAAAAACAAAAATACATGCATGATCATTGATAAGTACTTACCATCAGTTGATTCGGTTGTTGGCACTTCAATTCCTCTACTGCTAATGTCTTCTTCTGGCATTCCAAATATCTATAAAAAAAAGAACGACTATAATGTAAGCTTCTTTTTTTTTTCCTTTACTCGGAAATTAAAATATTTTCTGAAGTAAACTGCATTCCTTGTTAAAACCTGGGAGCACAGTCAACACTGTGTTCAAAGGTTGCAAAAACAAGGTATTAAACACATGTTGCATGGGACTTATATCAAACACAGCCATTGTGCAGTCTTAAACACATATAGGAATACATTAGGCCAACAACATCAAATATTGTGGTTCTGATTACAAGCATTTCAAAACCAGGTAAGGTACCGTAGTTCAGATTAGAAATTTTTTTTTTTTTCATCAGTCAGACATTACAGGTAATTTACTAAACCCATGTTTAATGATGTTCACACTAAAGACTTCCCAAGATAATAGAGTCAAGTCAAGTCTCATTGAAATTTTTCATGATTTCCCACCATTCTTTCATAGTTGTCAAAAAAAGTTTAGGATAAGCAATTTAAGGTACGAACGGTATATCAGAACCATACGTATTTCTCTGTATTCTTATATAAGAATATGCTAATGATTGAAAAATCAAAGCAGTAATCTGTTATAAGTCATAATAACACATACCTGCCAGTTATGAATCAGTAATTCCACAGTTCTTGCTTGATGTGGTGTGTCAACCAAGGATGCTAGTGTGGCCGCACCTTCACTGCTGTGAAGCAGAATACACAAAATAAACATTAGACTTAAGAACACAAATTATCACTACCTATTCCGAAATAATATAGATTGTAATTACCTATATAAATAAATATCGAAAACAATAGAATGTATCCGTTCAGAAAATGATGTATGGATGTGTTCGAATGTCATCCATATTTGAAAATGTATAATAATAAGGTTATCGTAAGAATACTGCAAAGTATGCACTCAGGCAGTATGGAGATGCATTAATCTCTGCTAAACGTTTGCACGATGTGAAATGTTCTTCATTGTCATTTTGGGCTTTATCTCCATTAAATTATTACAACAAGTGGTGAAAAGATGTATAATAATAAGGTTATCATAAGAATACTGCAACGTATGCACTCAGGCAGTATGGAGATGCATTAATCTCTGCTAAACGTTTGCACGATGTGAAACGTTCTTCATTGTCAATTTGGGCTTTATCTCCATTAAATTATTACAACAAGTGGTGAAAAGATGTATAATAATAAGGTTATCATAAGAATACTGCAAAGTATGCACTCAGGCAGTATGGAGATGTATTAATCTCTGCTAAACGCTATAGTCGATACAATCATCGTACTGCCTTTGTGCATACCTTGCAATATTCTCGTAATAACTTTGTTTTCCCAAAAATTTGCAATAAATAAAAGAATAAAGCCTTTAACAGCAATTGTTAACACAAACAATGAGATATAAACACGGATTCTATAGAGTGCTCCTGTACATCACAGTTCAAAGTGCAAGATAACTCACCTTTGTCTTAATAGAGTAGGTCCAAACACAATACCGAGATTACTAGCAGACATAAGGTTTGAATCACTGTTGTCAGAAACCCTAACAGAGAAAATAATATGAATTTTAGTGGCTTTTCTGATTCCCTATCCCAAGATGTCATTTCAGTCACACACAATCCTATTGTATCATCAGATTTATCACTACTTTACACAATATATGTACTAATTTCCAGAAGATACACTCAATATTGACCTTTTAAAATAATAATTCCCCACCATAATTTTGGTATAACATTTTCCTAAAATGTATTAGTATTAATTTTGCTTGATAACAAATTTCGAAGAAATATAGAAAATTATGTGAGTTTATGTTGTGAGAAGTGACAAAAGTCACCTTTGGTGGTCAAAGGTCAAAAGATTAACCTTTTCACCACCAGACTTTCTCGTCCAAATTTTTCTTTTGTATTCATAATATTTCTGGACCAACTGTCAAAATTTGGATCAATTTTCGTTTTTTACTCGAAAAATTTGGCTATTTTTGTCTTAATCTTCTGAAGAAAAATGCAGACTATAAACGGGACTATTTTGTGATGAAATGAGGGAACTGGTGGTAAATGGGTTAATGTGTAGAATTTACTACCCAACTCAATTAGTACAGTTTCTGCAGCATATTTACTTATTCCTTACCTTTTCAAGTGGTGAACCAATACAGCTAAAGTCTTGAAATTTTCTTCTGGTAATTTAGAAATGGTTCCTTTTAATAGATTCACAATTCTTTCCTCCCCCATGTCTTTTGAATTAGTTAAACTTTCTTTAGCGATGGCAATGAATTCTGGGTACAGGTGGAATGTCAGCAGAGGTTCCGGGAGCTAAAATGCGATCAAGTTTGAATGCGTTTAAATTGAAGAAAAAACAATTTCTGAAATTGCGCTTTTGTTGTTTTGTTGGTTGGTTAATAAAGAAAATAAATAATCATGAATATGTATATTTCCAATGAATTTGTTAATACACTGTTATAAATTATTGCCTTCATTTCCTGGTTATGATGCATTACAACATACATTACATGTCCCTTAAATCACTAACTATAGCTAATAATGCAGAATAAGTTACTAACTTTATTAACTGTACATGACCTGACTGATCATAAAACCCAGGTCAGTATATATCCTTAAGCATGTAACATAGTCAACAACATTACAGTAATACACTGTATCGGAAGCAGTACCGGTACTAGCAATATGAAACCCTTGGTGGTACAATATTAACACCTTCCCGGATGGTCAAAATGTATTATGTAAAAATGGTGTCAATAGGTAATATATTATCTCTATTAGAAGGGTACTAGCAATTGTTAAGATGGGCCAGAATGTACAGTTTGAAAGACGTGCTTCTCATAGAGAAATTACGATAGCAGTCAAAGTACGATAAAACTTACCTGTCTAAAGTAGAGTTTAAGTACACTAGTTATCAGATGAGGCAGGGTATCGGATAAATCAACTAAATCAGCGCCATTTTCAAAAGTCTGACACAATTTTTCCACTTTAGCTTTGACAGGCGCTACCCTATAGAGACCCTAGATAGAAATGAGTATACGAGTTAGCACAGAACACAACAAGTAGTTAGATAAAAAGAAGTACATGTGAATAGCTAATAACGGGTCTTTCTCCTGCAAATTTTACTGCCTAAGTCATGAATACCCCTTCCTGCAGAAGACAAGTAACTATTAGCAGACATACTAAAAAGTATTTCCTGGTAGTCTCCATGGCAACCAGTGTTACATTGTGGTAATATACAATACAGCATTCACATCAGTCTGTATGTACAATCAATTTTAAACCACTTCACTTTAACAAGACAAATTTTTGAATTCGTGAAATTTTGCGGCAGTGACATTTTTCTGAAATAATACAACATGACATGTCAGTTATCTTTAGAAATGCTATGAAATCATCAAAACACGAAAGTTAAGTTATTGACAGTAGGTATTGAGAGTTAGATTATCAGATTGTTTTTTAAGAAATAAAATTTTTTAAATTATACACTCACTGCAAACATTTACTGATGATGATAAAACTAGTAAATATTTTATTCAATATCTATTCATAAATGTTACAAGTGAATGTTTTTATTCTGCCTACCTTAACGCAAAGTGACCGATACTGTAATTCAGATATACATTTACTGATGATAAACGGCACTTCTTTACCAGTCGCTTGTAAATGTTCCTTTAACCGAACACCAAACACGTTCATTTTGCCTTGAAGTCTTTTGCCTCCACACTGAATAGCTAAAGACTCCAGACATTTCTTGTGGCTTGCAATTCCACAGTGCTCACACTCGGCTCCATTAAAGTACACGTAACTGTCACATTCACGACACTTGGAGGATGCTCTCAGTTTACGAAAGACGTGGGTCTGTGCAGCTTTCGACTGAGGTACATTCTTGAATTTCCCTTCATGGCTTGGTAGAAGACCTGAACATTAAAAGTAAATGTAAACAAATTAGAACCACTGAACTGTATACTGTTGATTAAGTACATTATTTTTACTGAAAGGATGAAACAGTGAAAATAAAATCTTTTTTCACTATTTTTTACATTAAAAATTAGTGAAAATAAATTTTATACAAATTAGGCAAAATATCTTATCAGTAAAAATTTATTCCAGCTAAAATAAAGTATTTTACAGTATGCCACTTCGGTTTCATCTGTCCTTATAAACTGCACCCTCTAGTGACCAACTAGAAAAATTGTTTTATAGAGGGCTTATTTCATACCAAGTGAAGTATTTGCTTTCATTATAGTTATGGTGTGATGACACACTGCAGAAAACTGGACAAAACTGAAGACACAATTGCAAACACTAAGGAATCGTTACAATTTCCAAATCTGATCACGACTTACGTGTGTCTATATGCAATGGATGATGTTCTTCACCATCTCCAAGTTCATCACCTGATGACATAGTAGTATTTGAAATTTCTCGATCCAGTTTTCGCTTCAAGTCGTGTGGGCTTGCTGACGGCGATGGGTCTTGTGATCGGCTGCTACTTCCACTCTCACTGTCACTGATTTGTTGCTGACTCCATGCCTGGATCGGCTGTGATGTACTACGTGATTTCTCTGTTGACAAGAGGAAATTATGACAATATATCATTTATACACTAATAATTGTCATGTCACAATAATTAATATATTGTTCAGATTGAGAAAACAAAAGCATTTAAAAATACTGTCACAAGATGGCGCTATGCATGGGCCAGTTGACTCATTCGCAAAAGAAATGACTTAATCTTCATAAACTGGTTATCATTCAAATAAACACTTCCCAATTTTAAAAGACCTGCACATGTACCTTTTCAACATTTTTTTTAATTGCCATAAATTTATAAAATATATTGTAGCTTACCTGTACCACTATGATTAGGCTTAGCATTGAGAGTTGATCGGGCTAACCAGTCTTCTGATAATTCACCGCTACCCGTACTGCTCATTGAATGACTACTACTTCTATGATTAAGACCAGGTCTGCTGAAAATATATATAAAAAAAATTTACATTCAATACAAGTTTTTCTGAGGTTATGCAAATTCAGAGATTCAGGAAGTTGAAGATGGAGGAATGCAGCAATGTATTCTGGGAAACAACAATGGCCAAAACAACATGTTACTACTTACGGGCTTTCCTTGGCATGACTAACATAAGGTTCAAAAGTAAATGCTTCAGAAGGTTTATTGTTTGGGGCAACAGGCTGATGTCTAATAAATTCACTAAACTGTGCACCCGGTTCATATTCTCTACATGGCCCACTGAGTGCTTGAAACTGAAACGGAAAACAAAGAGCGTAAGTAGGTAACAAGCTAGAATGCTATCAAAAGATGTCCCAGTGATGAAGTGTTATAGCACCTAGCAACAGTTGCATGCATTTTCACTTTCAAGTGGTCAAGTCAGCTGTGTAAGACAACACAATGGTGCTGTCTATGATTTTAAAATCACCAAAGCATTTCTGCTGGCATAGTGAATTATTTAGTTGCTACATTGATGGTCAGATCAATAAAATAATTAATTACTCTTCAGCAACAACAATTGCCATGAAGGATGGCATGTATATCTATGTACTATATTTGTTCTATTAGTAGTGCATATGCTTAACTTAACCACAAGGGTGTGTCTATGGTCAAAATAAGTTGTATTTTAATGATCCAGTCGTAAAAGAGCTTCAAAGAGAGCAAATACGATATCATCATCTCTACCCTATAACTTACCTGTACTGGGGCAGGAGCTGATAACGAATTCATAAGCTGAAAATATCCAACAGTAACAGCCTTCATCGTCTGATCACATTGATAGATTAACTCACGAAGTTGGACGATTAAATCTCTCTGTTGGTGGTAAAAAAAATGAGAAATTTATGTTTACAGTTATTATGAGGGGGTAAAAAGTTCAGCAGTACTGAAGGTATTGCATGTATTTAATTTAAATTATACAAGCAAGTCAACTAATTCAACAGAAAAGACAAACAAAGCAAAAATACACTGGTCAGCCATCTTTTAATGTACCGTAACAGACATTTTTGTATACATTTGTACAGACATTCAAAAAAACATGTGAAGTGCCTAAATATAAGTTGACGAGGTTGGATTTTCAGAATATATTAAGCGGCCATTTACCTTTGTATCTTCCATCTCTCCCTGTTTCCTATTTGCTTCAAAAACACATGCTTTATACATTGTGGCAGCATCATCTGCCTGTATGATAAAAGAATAAGGCCTAATCAAAATAATGCAAATATTCAAGTAATATCATCCAAACTTTATATCACAAATTATAACAGCACGAATTTCAGAAAATCTCCTCAGTGAGGAATTTGTTGTGAACATCTTCAAATCATGAACATCTAATGAATATAACAACATAGTATATATAGATGGATAGATAGAGATACGGATAAAATGGGAATGAATATCACATTCATTTCTCACCTTTCTTTGTGCCTCTTCTTCTGCTTTCTTCTTTTTCTCTAATTTAGCATGCCCTGAACTAGAACCCAGTGTATCTGACTCTGTTTTTATAGCCATATCTCTTGCCTTCTCATAATCCTGCTGCTTCTGCACATACAACAGCCTTGCTTTCTCTAAATTGGCTTTACAATCCAACTTGTAAAAAAAAAAAGTTTTTATTAGAATACAAATCGAAAATAAGATAAGAGGTAACAAATGTAACCAGCAACAAAATAGAATGAAATTTTAATTTTTCTTATTTCTTATATTATCACTGTCATAAATTTACGCATTTTTTTTTTTACAAATGAACAGCCAGTTTTCCAATTTAGAATAAATCAAAAAATGAATCACACTCAAACTTTTGTATGGGTTTTTCCACAAAAAAAAATAAAAAATTTTTTTTTATTTGCTATATCAACTTTGACAGACATTACCAGTACTTATAAGATTTGAACAAAACGATGGATAGAAAAAGAAGAATATTTTGGACTGTCCTCCAGTGAGGGTATTGACAAAGCGTCAAAAACTGAGAATCGTGGTGAATAGTATTTTAACCCAGTGAAGAAGTTCAACACTCCAACTCACCATTTCTTTCTTTGTTCGAATCCACGTTTGCTTTAGCTCTTTTCTTCTCTTTTCATGTTCAGTTCTCCTCACACACAAAGGCTGTCGAACAACAATCAAATAAATAACAGTCAATACTCAACTTGATTTCAAAAAACTGTGAAGTGATGCATCATGGGAATTCTGACTGGGTGTTATTGCCTTTGGTTCTATTGTTCAATGTATGTTATTACTGTGTACAACTATTGTTTCGGAACACGCAATCTGTATTTTCATTCAGATGAACAAATGATATCCTGCAGTCTATTGTCACACAGTAAGAATCAGTGATGCGAATAACGATAAGATAACATAGTAAAACCAAAGCAGTTTTGCTCTCTGGATACAGAACATAGTCAAAGGGCTGAAATTATTTAATTTCAACAAACATTGGCAGCATAACTATACCATGTCAGTTTATAGCGTCATTGTCTAGACAATTGCTGTGACGATTATTCGTTTCTCACCTCTAAGAATTTATGCGCTTGTATCTGACTGTACGTAACCTCACAATTGCGGGCGTATTCAATGTCTTGTTGTAACGCTGTACAGTATATGGACTGTAATGGCAAATAACTCTGTAATCCAATATAAACACTGGTTAAACATTTTATGAAAATTGCACAATATTCACTTAATGTTCATATTTTATTGTCCTTACTATAATTTTATCAGCCATCTATGTTTTAAAAGAAATTATAGAAAAGTACCAAGGCACAACATGGTTGTTTAAACAAACTAGGTTGTTTTATCTGAAACTTGACATTAATTTATCAAAAATATATTTGATTAAAAGTAGAATCTCACCTCCTCTGCCAATACTGGTATAGTCGTATGAGCCAATTTGGCAAGACTCTTTGAAAACTCAGTTTCTGAAGAAGAAGAAAAAAAATACAATCTTATCACAGTTATAATTAATTATAACATCTACTATCACTACATCTCAAGTCACATGACTATCACCTGATCAGGTCACCTGATTTACTTACCAATATGAATTCTTTTCTCCACATATGACATGACATCTTTGGCATATTTAGACCATGCTTTGGCTCGTTGTAACGCTAGATCCACACCTAATTCATTTGCTAAAAGAGTGTTGTCGATTTCCTCTGGCGACATACATACTGTGAACAGAGAGTACGTAAATCAAAATGAAAAGACAAATGAACTTGTACATTTAGCTCCCTGTAGTAGTATAATTTATATCTGAAAAACTAAATTTGTCATGCACGACAGGTTTTGACCTATTTAAGAGGTACAAGGAAATTATTTGTGACATGCAAAATTAACTCACATTTTTCTGACACATTTTTATGTATTTTCTATTATTTGTTTGATAATTTTTAACCAAATGAATATACCATCATGTTTTGATCAATATTTTTCAAAAATATGGTAAAATTTCGTACAGGTTTATTTTATGAAAAGTGACCACCGATTTAGGCATTTCTAATTTTATTATACACTAACTATACACTAACAATTTGTTGTTTTTAAATAAATTTTTAATATTATGGAGTGTCCACGATATAATAAAGCCTCCAGACAAGTTAGTGGATAAGAATCTGTACAATGTTTTACAATATAACACTCACCAGGTTCTTTGCCATCGAGAGCTAAATAACCTCCATCAGAACTGAGACTAGGAGAAGATAAATTATCATAAGATCGTGTCTGAGATATGCTCGCTGTCGGTGTTGGTGATTGGTCCAAATCACCCATTAAGTATTCAGATACACTGAAAAATAATAGTGGCAATATTAGAGATACTGTATGATCGTTTTAAAAATATTTAATAATAATATTCTGACTTTCATATCAATTCATAACCAAAATGAATGTTGATGTTCACACATCATTATCTGACTCCTATGACTTACTGCATGTAGTACTGTGCTTTCTCTGGAGTGATTTTCTAGTTCTGATTTAAATCACAGGTACGTAACATTCTCTACACTTTAATGCATGACATTGACACAATGCCTGCTAAATCCTAGTTTGCCATTGATTTGGCTCGTCTGTAAAAGCTTTCAGCAAGATATATGCATAATCTTTTTTACCAAATATAAGTACAAAATAAGCAAAATAAGATTTATACATTTACAAATCTGATAAACTCACCTACTACTGAACGCCAATGCCAACTGATCAATGGCGTTGTAAAACTCGGTATGGTCCTCGCTGTCATATTCGCTTGTAAACCCTACAGAGAGAATAGTATGAATCAGATACTGTAAATAGTGAATTCTGTAGACCATACTTCATACCGTAGTGGGAGGTGCACACAACAATAAATATTTAAATATTATTAGCATTCTGTACTGAGAGAAATGCTGAAAACCATTTTGTGTCATGCTTTGTCATAGTTAAGAATTTTTGGCGATGAAGAAGTGGCATTACAAATGTGAGCCTCAGCTGTGAGGTTTATGTTTAGAACTGCGTGTAGTCTGTACCGGTAGTACATGTGTAGTAAAAAACAGTTCTGGTGACTGTGCTCTTTTCACCAATTGAACGTCATTTTACTTCCACCTAAATTATCATACATCATTTACCATTTATTTCCAAGAGTTTTTATCAAGTATACAAAATGCTGAATCGGTCAAATTCTATTGCTTGTTATTTTATCGTATTTGTATTCATCTTTGTTGAGCTATTTACAGTTGGTGGTTTCATTCCTCCAATAGTATTATATTACTAAATAAACCAAGTATGGTAGTATTTTATGAAACAACATAAACTTTTTGATCTTCAAAAATTGAATTGTATACCTTTGATTTGGCTGATAAGTATAACTGCAGCGGTGTGGATATCCGTTGAATGTAACGCCGGATATTTATTAAGTACATTGCGTAGTATGTGAAGCAGCTCCTTCAATCTCTCATGGGCAGCTACACGAGGAGTTTCGGCTCGCTCTGAAAAAAAAATATTGAGTATTAAATCAGTTATCTCTACACAAGATCAAACTTTGTACGAATAAACCTAGAGTAACAATAGGATTCAGTTATATATAAAAGAAGCTGTTGCTATGAAGACAATCATCAATACTTTGTCTTCCCAGAAAATCAGGTGTAATTGTAGATAGATTGGCATTATGTCAAATGTACCATCAAAATAATGTAAACTGTTTAATTTTCGCTGCTAAAATGCTTGTGATTTGATCATTTTTGGCATTTGTGTAGACAAAATGCTAAACAATTTTGCAATTTTTAATTGACTCAAAAATTTGACTTGCAAAATAAAAGCAGTTTACAGTAGATTCTATGCAGTGAAGCTGGATAAATCTGAAATAAATAAATTATACAAGTATACAAATGTAAAATTCCATAAAAGTTTAATTACCTCACTATACGTAGTTTGAACTCTACTTAATATGCATTTCCTTTTTTAGGAAAGTTAAAGAAACTACAAAAGATTTTCTGTACAACAAATTTACCTAATAAACATTACTATTGAAAGTTATGTCATTTTAAAATATACATGAAGATGGTTTTTTATTGAACTAACATCATTTTTTTGTTTCCCGGAATCAACACTGGGACAAGCAATTCTGCTTTAACACACTGAAAACCAGATTTTTTTCAATCTATTAATTTGCACATCTTTATGTATTATTTTATGATTTCTTCATAAATTTGTGCGCAACGATCACAATTTTCTATTGGCTATAGATCTTGATCAATAATTTAAGATTATTTTACGAACAAGCAGCCTATTGGCTGAGATAGCTCCGCTGTTAGCAATGCACATTTCAATTAAAGAACTGAAGACATCATTAGAAAATGAACAATATGAATAGTATCAAAGCATCGGACTTACAGTTT